AGGTATGATGCCCAGATGATATTCATATAGCATCCTGGGCTTATAATTGTCTAAAAAATAACTTTAATATATTTCTTGTTACCTAATGATTTATACTTCTAATAATACAATTCTATATCTACTGTAAATATTTTAGCTATTTGCAGTTATCTTAACTATTTTTGATATTTTATCTCAAAATACTGCAAATTGGTATAGATACACTGTAAAAATTTTGTAAAATGTTTCTTTTGAGATAACACTCTATAGATCCTAGTCTTCACAAAATTGACCTATCTGCTCTTATTCGTGGGTAAAATTTACATGTAATTAAATAAAATAAAATAAATATAAAACTTTAATTTCTAATATGGAAATGTTCAGGTAAAATCAAAAGAAGGGAGGACTGTTTAATGAACCCCAGGTAATTTTCTTACCTAATTTTAACAATTGTTAATAGTTTGACATTTTTTTCATCCGTACCTTGTTCCCTATATGTTTTTGGTATTTCATGTTGAATCTCATTCCTTCAAATAAATACCATTACTTCTGCAAGTACCTAATTTTATATCACAAACATATATACGTGCAGTTTATGTTTGGTTTTCCGTGATGTCTGGTATATATCTTTTTCAAGTTGGTTGTTTGAATCAGGAACAAAGAAACATACATTCCATTTGATCGATAGGACAATTAAGTTACTCTTAATCTGAAAGCATTCCTCTTCTCTTATTTTTCCATGCCAATGACTCATTGAAAAAACTGGTTAAATTGTCATAAGATTTCTTATGATCCAGATTTACATGTTTCTATCTTCATATCAATCAGTGTATTCCTTTATCTCCTCTATTACCTATGAATTAGTACTTAGGTATAGAAGATTAAGTATATTCAGGATTTTAATTTTCTGGTGGCAAGACTTTTTCTTAGAAGGAGCTATTTACTTCCAATTACATCATACAGTGCCTTTTAGTCTGTCTTACTGCTGCTATTATTGATCATTGGATTTAAATGTTATTGGCCTGATCCCATTCATCATAAAGTTTCCCTTCAACTTCTTTTTTCTAAAGACTTTTTTCTTTTAGAACAGTTCTAGGGTCACAGTAAAATTAAGGGTAATATACAAAGATTTCCCATTTTTCTCCCTGCCCTGAGCTTACATGACCATCACCCATTTGGTGAAGGATGCTGCTTCCTCATAGCAATATCCCACATCAGAGTGGTGCATTTGTTACAATGGATGAACCTACACCAACACATCATAATAACCCAAAGTCCATAGTTTACATTAGTGTTCACTCCTGGAGTTGTACATTCTTTGGGTTTTGACAAATGTATAATGACATGTATCCATCACTATAGTGTCATACAAAGTAAAAATCCTTTGTATTTCACCTATTCACTTCTCCCCAACCATACCTCCAACCTCTGGCAGCCATTAACCTTTCCACTGTTTCCATAGTTTTCCATTCCCAGAATATTGAATAGTTGGAATTCTACAGTAAGTAGCCTTTTCACATTGGTTTCTCTTACTTAGTAATGTGCATTTAAAGTTCATCTGTGTCTTTTCATGGTTCATATGTTTTTAGGCACTGCATAATATTCCATTGTCTATAATATATACCAGTTTGTCCATTCACCTACTGAAGGACATCTTCATTGGTCCCAAGTTTTGTCAGTTATGAATAAAGGTACCTAGACATCCATGTGCAAGTTTTTGTGTAGACATAACTTTTCAGCTCCTTTGAGTAGGTACCAAAGAGGATGATTCCTAGATCATATAGTAAGATATGTTTAGCTTTGTACGAAACTGCCAAACTGTCTTCCAAAGTGACCGTACCATTTTGCATTTCCACCACTAATGAATAAGAGATCCTGTTGCTTCATATCCTTGGAAGCATTTGGTGTTGCCAGTATTCTAGATTTTGGCCATTCTCATAGGCGTATAGTGGTATTTGACTTTCATTTATATTTCCCCAATGAGATCTGATGTGGAACATCTTTGCCTATGATTATTTGCCATATATATCACTTCTTTAATGTATCTGTTGAGATTTATTAATTGGTTTGTTTTCTTATTGTTGAATTTTAAGAGTTCTTTATATATTTTGCGTAAAATTCCTCTATCAGATGTGTCTTTTGCAAATATTTTCAGCCTGTGACTTTTCTTATTCTCTTGACAGTGTCATTCGTGTATCAGATTTTTTTTTTTCATTTTAGTGAAGTCTACTTTATCAATTATTACTTTCAGGGATCATATCTTGGATGTTGAATCTCCTTTCAACATTTTACTAAATGGTTTTAGGAGTTATTGGTGGAAATTCCCTAGATTTTCTATTTCATTAGAGTTGCAAATGATCTTTATTTATTTATTTATTTTGCAAAATGATCTCTTTTTTAAATTTTTTAGTATTTTTTAATTCTATCATTCCTTCTGTGTTTCTTACCTAGAATTCTATAAATAAGAGTGTTCTTTTATCAACTCTTTTGTTACTCTGAATTTCAATTTTTCCAGGAAAGGAAGGATAAATGCTTGTTTCTTTCTCTGTGTTCAGTTTATCAATTTTTAGAACAATGAGTTTTGTGCCCTAGCAACCTACACATGTGATTAAGTTTTAAGGTACCATTATGAATTCATAGAACTTACTTATTTGACATCTTTAATCAATTTCAGTCATTATTTTTAGTGTTTAGAGTACTTCATTTTTGGCTGGTGGGGTCCACTGAAGTTTGCTGCTGTATCCTCATGACCTATTCTAGTTTTTGTTTTTGTGGGTTTTTTTTTTCTTTTTTAATTTCAGTGCTTTCTGACTGAATTCAGGCTCATATTATACTTTGTGCTCCAGACTTTATTTCTTTTAGAGGACCAAGTGGGAAATGGAATTTGAAAACCATAATCTGGATGTTAGGAAGCTTACTATTATTGTTCCTAGATCTTTAAATATTTAAATTTTAAATTGAACATATTTTTCAGTGTATAATCTTAGTTTTATCCTTGTGATTGTATAACTTTTTGATCCAAGGAAAATCTGTATTAACACAATTCAGTTATCAGTCATTTGGTGGGTGTATGTTTAACACTATTGTAGGCAGTGCTATACAAATATAAGATTGTGGCCCTTGCTTTCAGGGAACCACTGGGACTTGTTTTTACTGGCTAATGGGATAATATATAAAAAATAAATTTTAATTTAATAAATCAAACAATAAGAAAATGCCGAGGTGGCACAAAAGAAGAATTGATTAATTTTATTGGCAGAGATATTCAAGTAATGCTTCAAGTTCCCAGGGAAAGTAACATCTGTGCTGGGTATTAAAGGAAGGATATGAGTTCAATTGGGTGTGAAAAGATAAGGGAAAGGGACTTACAGAGAGAGGAAAAAGCATATGAAAAGGTATCAAGCAAGAAAACAGGATCAAGTAGGTTGCTATCTGGGGCACCAAAACTGAAGTGGTGAAAGACAGCTGAGGAGTCAAAATCAGTAAAGTCTTAATATGACACGATAAAGAAACTAGACTTCTCCTGGAGGCAGAAGAAACACACTGATAGGTAAGTAGATACATGAAATCACCTAATTTGCTCCTCAAAAAATGTTCTGATATCCTCCCATTCAGAATGGGAGGAGAAAGTGGAAGTTAGGGAAATTAGGTAATAGAGTAGGTAAGTTCACTTTTGAATTTATAGCCTTGTGTTTAGAATAGTGCTTGGCATATAGTAGGCACTTAATATTTGTTGAATGATGAACAAAAATTGAACTGATGAGCAAATTGATAATTCTGAAGAAAAATCATATAGAAACAGAAACAGAGTCTGTATTCTGCTTGCTTACTTATTAGTATCTAATTACCATGATATTTTCACAAACTAATTAATTAATAAGCAAAGCAGCCCAATAGAAATATGGTCAGGATATGAATGGTAAGCTTATGATAGGGGAAATCTGAATGATGATTATACATATAAAAATAGGCTTACTAGAACCAAAGAATTATAAATACCATTTAAATCCCATGAGATAGAAAAATATTTAAACATCTAAACAAAACCCAATCTTAGCCAGGGTATTAAATTGCTGAGACTTTTTCATGCTACTGCTGGGAGTATAAATTGGTGAAACCATTCATTATAGAAATCACATTGACAATCAGTAATCAGTCAGAAGATACATATGTCATTTTAGTCAACATTTCCATTTCACATGTGAACCTTAGAGACATGCTCATACCTGTAAAGAAAGACATATTTAACAATGTTCACAGTAGCATCTTTGATTATACCAAAAATTTAGAAATAACATAAATGTGTAGCTTCAGGAGAATGGAAATTTTAATATATTTGTATAACAGCATAATCTCTTACAATAAAAATGAATAAACCAAAGCCATATGAATAGAATTTGAATAATCAAGTCTCAAAATATGACTGTAAAAGCTTGTAAAATGATACATATAGTATGATGTCATTTATGTGAAGTTAATTATACAAAATAATGTTATTACAAATATGTATATAATAATAGATAAAAATACCAAATTTCAAAGCCTGTTTGTCTCTGAGGAGAAGTGAAAGAGGGTTGGGAAAGGTTATATAGTGGGCTTCAGCCTATTTTTCTTTTTACAAAAGTCAGAAACAGAGCAAAATTAAAATTTTGTAAAGTAGGTAATGTGCAGTGTTTATTTTTTATTCTTACATATTTAAATGTTTCTAATGAAAAAGTCTTTTGAGAGTGGAAAATTTCAGAATTACTTTTGTTCTCAAGTAAAATACTTTCTTAGTATCTATTTTTTTTTTTAAGATTTTATTTATTTATTTGACACAGAGAGATCACAAGTAGGCCGAGAGGCAGGCAGAGAGAGGTGGGGGGGAAGCATGCTCACGGCTGAGCAGAGAGCCTGATGCAGGCTGATGCCAGGACCCTGAGATCATGACCTGAGCTGAAGACAGAGGCTTAACCCATGAGCCAAACAGGTGCCCCCTTTCTTAGCATCTAAATACATTTAACTACTTTTTTGCTTTGCAGGTTTAAGTGATGAATTAGCCCCGAAGCTATTTGATGTTTCAGAAATATCTTCAGCAACAATGGCCCGTTCATTGCCCACAGCAGTTCCAGATTCTCCTAGAATTTATCCTGCAAGAACACCTAAAACACCTCGAACACCTAGGTTACAAGATCCAAATAAAACACCAAGATTTTATCCTGTTGTTAAAGAACCAAAAGCTATTGATGTAAAGGTACACAAAACTACCAGAAATATAAAGGCTGCATTTTATATCCTTTAACATTCCAAAATGAGACTTTTTAGTTTCTATCATATTTTAAAAAATATATATTTTAGATGGTAAGAACTCACTTAAAAATGGTATTTTACCAGTGATGTTTTCTCAGGTTAAGGAATAACTTCCTTAAAATTTGTAGTGTAATTAATGTTAATCAGAAGGTATAATGAAGACTCACACTAAAGTGTATTTCCTTTAATCCTTGGGTTGAATCCTAGCAAAGGACCTTCTTTGTTAAGTTTTGTAACTTGTATGTGAGATGTTTAAGTTTTGTGACTTCATGTGATTTCATAATGTGTCATCTACAGTATGAAAATGTTTGAGCTAGTTTACAGTCAGAGGGTTTCAATTTACTTGTGAAGTTCACATTACTGAAATAATTGCAATGTTTGACTTCTTTTTCTTTAGAGTCCAAGAAAGAGAAAAACAAGACATAGTACAAATCCCCCTCTAGAGTGTCATGTTGGTTGGGTAATGGATTCCAGAGATCATGGGCCAAGAACATCTTCTGTCAGGTACTGTATTTGTCAAACATTGCTTTTTTTTTAAGTTTGTTGAAAATAGTTACTAATTAGACATTTGGAATATTTAAAAATTTATATGTTAGCAAAGTATGGAACAATGAAAATAGTTTTTAAAAAGAAGCGGAAGAAAGGGAAATAAATGGGACATTTTCCAATAAATACATTAAGGAATAATTGAATAGGACAATTTTTTTCCCATTTAAACTAGTTTCCACAAATGTGTACTCTTAGATAAGAAAATATTTAAGTTTATGAAAGATTCCAGATTCTCAGTGGCATAGTGGGTTCTTAGTGAATTAATGTGCTAAACAAACTACTCAAACTATAAAAAGAATATGGAAATAAAACACCTTGTTATTTTGAAGTTTTTCCTTTTGGGGGAAAATAACTTAGATTAGTTGACTATTAGTAGTAAGTGGTTTTTCTTTTAGCTTTTTTTTTTTTAAAGACTTATTTACCTCAATAGAGATGATAGAGCAAACCTTTGATAGTGCCAGTTGTGCAATATAACATGATATGTTTTATCTTATACAGTGGATGCAGAGGTGATTTGCTGCTAATTGCTGTGTGTTTCTTGTAAACTTCTGTTTGTGTAGATATTTTCAGAATAATTATCTGACCAACTTTCTAAATGAAGATTTAGCTTAGGAAAAAGTATTCTTTAGTTACTAGAAGGGGAGGATTAAATAGTTTCATTCAAAGAAAAGCTAGTGAATTTATCACGATCTGAAAATCTCCACCTCTGTCTTTCCAGTGATATTTATTTGGTACTTTTACATTTGTTCTCATTAGATATATTGTCCATAAAATATAAAATGTGTATATGTTTTTTGCACACCTATTGTATACTTAGGGTTATTGTGTTCTAAGTGATTTTGAGAGTTTATTTTCCAGGGTATTTTTTTTTAAGATTTTTATTTATTAGAGAGAGAAAGCACGAGCAGGGGAAAAGACCGAGAGAGAAGCAGGCTTCCCATTGAGCAGGGAGCCCAACAATATAGGGCTCGATCCCAGGACCCTGGGATCATGACCTGAGCTGAAGTCAGACGCTTAACCAACTGAGCCACCTAAGCACCCCTCCAGTGTGTTTGTTTTTTTTTTTTAATCAGAGCAATATATTTAGAGATCAACAAATAATGGTGAAAGATTTTAGTCAGTAACATTTAGTTTAGTTAGAACATTTAATGGAACGTTTAGTTAGGAATATATTCCTTACAATTCATTTTTTATTATATTATATCTTTCATTATTAATAATTCATCTATATAGTGATTTATTCATTCCCAGGCACCACTCCACGTTCTTCCACAAGTAAAATGTATCAGGAAAGCAGGGGCTTAACATTATGTTGGACACTTTCCTAGGCACTAAGTATATAGCAGGGAACAAGATAATTACAGACCCTGCCTTTCTGGAGCTTAATTCAGGGGTGACAGACAAGTATTTATAAAAATGACTATATATTTTTTTAAATTGACCTACTTTTTAGAGTAGTTCTAGGTTCACAGCAGAAATTGAGTGGAAGGTACTGAGAGTTCCCTTAGACACCATGCATTCCCTGCCTTCCACACACAGCCTCACCCCATTATCAACATTCATATCTTTAGATCATCTACCTTAATGTAATTATGGATATGGTTGGATTTAAATCTGCCATTTTAATTTTAATTTTTTTTATTTTGTATTCTACTTTTTTTCATCTCTTCTTTGTTCTTTTTTCTTCCATCTTTTGGATTGGCTGAGTTTTTATGATAATTCTATTTTATCTCTACCATTGGCTTCTCAGTTATATCTCTTATTTTTTACTGGTCTTCTACTGTTCATAATATACATTTCAACTTAGTCTACTTTCAAATAATATTATACCACTACATGTATAGCATAAGAATCTTAATACCATAAAGTTCCATTTCCTCCCATCCTCTGTAATATAGCTTTATTATTACTTTTCTGTAGACAGTTTAAAAACATGAGAAATTTTTATTTTATCTATAATCTATCTATCTATTTATAGAGTTTTTATTTGAGAGAGAGAGAGAGAGAGAGAGTGCATTGGGGAGGGTGAGGAGGGAGAGGCAGACTCCCCTCTGAACAGGAAGCTAGATGATCAGACGATCCCTGGTCTCAGTCCCAGAAGCCTGAGACCATGACCTGAACTGAAAGCAGACATTTAACTGACTGAGCCACCCAGGCGCCCCAATGTGAGAAATTTTTCAAACATTTGCTCTCATTTTTACCATTTGTAATGCTCTTTATTTCTTAAAAATTTCTCGTTGTACAGGTCTGTTAGGAGTGGATTCTATCTACTTTTGTTTATCAGGAGAAGTTTGTCTTTTTCTATTTTGAAAGATATTGAGTATAAAATTCTTTGATGGATCTAGATATGGGTATGGTTATATGTGTATATATCTGTGTGACACATAAGGTATTTATCCTGCTTGTGGTTCTCTGAAGTTTTTGGGTTCATTGTTTGTTGTCTTTTATTCATTTAGGAAAATTTTCGTCTCTTACCTCTTCAAGTATTTTTTGCCCTGTGTTCTTGTTTGTTCCTACTTCTGGGATCCAATTACATGTATATTAGATCATTTGTTAATATCTCACAGCTCTTAGATGATCTGATTTTTTTTTTCTACTTTTTCTCTTTGTAATTCACGTTGGATAATTTTGATTGACCCTTGTTCATTTTTAGTTGTGTCCAGTCTCCTGATAAGCTTATCACAGAAATTTTCCATTTCTGATAATTGTGCTTTATAAATTTTGTATTACCATTTGACTTCTTATTAATAGTTCTCTTTTTCCTGCTGAAGTTTTTTTATCATGCATGTTCTCCTTTCCATGAATTCCTTCAACATATTAATCTAATCATGGTTATTTTAAAGTCCATTGTGTGATCATGCCAATAGGTGGGTGATCTGATGTATATATCCTTCTGTTTGTTTTGGGGGTTTTTTTGCATTATTTTTTGATTAAAAATTTTAATTTTCTTGTTAGTTTGTGTCTTATAAATTTTTATTGAATTTTAGATTCTTGCTCTTAGACTTATTTTATACCTCTAATATCTCCAAATCTCAAGCTGAGTAAACTCTCATCTCTTTCCAGTTTATTTGTTCCTAATCTGCAGAATTTGGCTAAAATAAATCCTAGGCTGACTGATATGAATACAGTTTCATATACTCCAGTTATACTTACATCCCCACTAGAGTACTATAAATATTATTTTCTCCTATGATTTTTTAAAAAGATTTATTTATTTGACAGATGGAGATCACAAGTAGGCAGAGAGGCAGGCAGAGAGAGGGGGGAGGGGAAGCAGACTCCCCGCTGAGCAGAGAGCCCGATGTGGGGCTCGATCCCAGGACCCTGGGATCATGACCCCAGCCGAAGGCAGAGGCTTCAACCCACTGAGCCACCCAGGTGCCCCTTTCCTATGATTTTTTAAATTCATTTGACAGAGAGAAGGAGACCACAAGTAGGCAGAGCAGCAGGCAGAGAGAGAGGGAGGAAGCAGGCTCCCTGCTGAACAGAGAGCCTGATGTGGGGCTCGATCCTGGGACCCTGGGATCATGATCCCAGCCGAAGGCAGAGGCTTTAACCCACTGAGCCATCCAGGTGCCCCCCCTATGATTTTTTTTAAGATTTTATTTATTTATTTGACACACAGAGAGAAATCACAAGTAGGTAGAGAGGCAGGCAGAGAGAGAGGGGGATGCAGGCTCCCTGCTGAGCAGAGAGCCCAATGCAGGGCTCGATCCCAGGACCCCGAGATCACAACCTGAGCCAAAGGCAGAGGCTTAACCCACTGAGCCACCCAGGCGCCCCTCCTATGGTTTTTAAATAACATTTTCTTTTCTTTACATACTATAAGAGTATAGTATGTAATACACATGACATACAATGTATGTGTTAATTAACTGTGTATGTTATCAGCAAGGCTTCTGGTCAACAGTAGGCTATTAGTAAAGTTTTTAGGGAGACAATATTTACATGTAGATTTTTGACTAGTGTAGAGTGTCAGCACCCCTAACTCCTACATTGTTCAAGGGTTAATTGTATAAACGTATATGTAACTTTTTTTTTTTAAAGCAACACTTTTTTCTTTCTTTTTTTTTTTTTAAGATTTTATTATTTATTTATTTGACAGAGATCACAAGGAAGCAGAGATGCAGGCAGAGACAGAGGGGGGAAGCAGGCTCCCTGCTGAGCAGAGAGCCCGATGCGGGCTCGATCCCAGGACCCTGAGATCATGACCTAAGCCGAAGGCAGAGGCTTTAACCCACTGAGCCACCCAGGCGCCCCCGTATATGTAACTATTAACAGCCCCTCATAGTCTATGAAACAAAAATTGGGGCATCTGGGTGGTTTAGTCAGTTGAGCATCTATTTCTTAATTTCAGCGCAGCTCATGATCTCAAGGTTGTGAAATCTAGGCACCTTGTCAGGTTCCATGCTTAGCAGGAAGTCTGCTTGAGATTCTCTCCCTCTGCCCTTCCCACCACTCTCTCTCAAATAAATAAATAAATCTTTAAAAAAAATATATATGAAGCAAAAATTGAAAAAAATTGGAGAGAGAAATAAACATTTCTACAAGAATAGTTGGAGATTTCAATACTCTACTTTCAATAATGCATAAATCAACTTGACATAAGATGAGTAACAAAATAGAGGACCTGAACAATGCAATAAACTAATTAGACCTAGAAGATTTTATATATATATATATATACACACACACATAATATAGTCTACCCAACAACAGCACAGAATATACATTCGTAAGTATACACAGGACGTTTTGTACTATAGACCATGTGTTGGGCCAAAACAAAAGCTTCAGTAGACTTTAAATGTGATACCATATAAGATATCTTCTCTGATTGCAGTGGAATGAAGGTAGTAGAAATCTATAACAGAAGTAAAACTGGAAAATTCACAAGTATGTGAGAGTTAAACAACATAGTTTTAACCCATGAGTCAAAGAAGACATCATAAAGG